GTCATTTGGAGACTTGTGCTAATGGCAGATCTTTGAGAGTCTCAATTTATTCATATCTATAGACTTAGGCCATTTTGATCTTTACAGATTGTGTCAACACCTATGTATTGCTGAAGACTATATTTTGTCATGTAGATGTCTTGTTTTATTTATGTCATTGTGTTACCAACTCATATACATTTTTGTACTACACATTTAGTTATAATAAATGCACAAGTCAAATGTTAGAGGTATATGGATATAATTTCAAAGTTAATGCAATGAAATTATATGAACAACTACCTTACCTACTCCTGGAGAACAAATGTATTAAGTTTGATACACTAAATATAGGATACATGGTGCCTATAAGAGCATGAGGAATGGAGGATTGAAAGATTATAATATCACTGTCAACAACTTTGCTGCAAGGGATATTAAATTTTCAGTTTTAATAACAATATAGACCATCTATAATTCTAAAATAACGAGTTCCAATTTGTTAGCTGGCATGACGTAAAGACAACAATTCAAAAAATTCAACTGTATATATAACTAATATAGGACAATGATGTTGATTAAAAATTACACCATTCCAGCTCTTTTGTTTTCCACATAATATTTCTTTCCTACAAGATGGGTAAGCCAGAAAATTAAATTTTGAATTGATAGTATGATGATTAAAGGAAAGAAAAATGAAACAATATTTTGTACCACTAATTAAAAATTGTTAAATCTGCATCATGTTGGTCAAGTTTAGACTCAGAACCTAGACCTTAGCTTGACCTTTATAGTTTTTTAAAAACAATATATGTCATTCTCTCCTGACAATGATTACTCAAATCTAGCTTTTAAAAATTTATGTAAAGTATTTTATATAGTTCTTCAATTAGTCTCTTAAAATTTCAAATAGAATGGCACTTGTATGAGCAAATACCGTTTTACTGTTAGACTATGTTTTACATAAGTATGTGAATGCTTATGTTATACAAGTGGTGAGACTTTAATAAAATATTGAATCCTTCAATCTTATTTAGTTTCATGAAGATTGGTGAAGGAACTGATTAATGTATATGATAATGAGAAAGTTAGTGGTTACCCAGGGATTGACATACAGGAACATTGCATGACAGAAGTTTTTACTTTGTCCCCAGCTGTAACTATGATGTGAGGGGTTTTAAAATCAACACCAAGGCTACAAGAGTTTCAATTTATTAAATAAAGATGCAATTAAATACATAACATAAGTATTAAAGAGAAAGACAGAAGCAGAATTCATCAGACAATATAAATATCAGAAGAATGCCAATCATCAACTATATTTTGTTAACATTTAGCAGTAATCATAAGGGACACTGTATTCATGTCATTCATCCTTTTTCTGCTAATTTGAAACTTACTTCTCATTTACAGATCATATGTATACAGATCAAGATTTGATTACATTCAATAACTATACTGCATTTCAAATATATCTTATTACAAATTCAATTAATAACTATTGCACAAATACATGGGTTTGATTTTTTAGGGTTTATTTTCATGGTATCCATTCCTTCTTTTTGTATAAATATAACATGAGCACACATTCTTTGAATATCTTTGTTTACTTAGTTTTTGTTGAAATAAGTACTTCTGAAAATGTTAAGATGCACAAAATCATTTTTGTCATGAAAATCTTGAATCAATTACCAGTAATGAATTGTATAATTAACACAAAGCAATAGTGATTACCTACTGTTTTAAGCACTGACATTAAGTCATGCAAGAGTATTTTATATACATTACAATAAGGAACTTCTATAAGTATAAATTTACTATGTTATAGAAGCTGTATTTACAACTGTGTAACCTAACTAGGTACATATTTACTCTATCTAGAATAATAATTACTAGTTATGTACACATATAATGATTTGTACAAGGAACATTACATATATCAAATGGAGAAATTGCATAATGGATCTTTCATCTAAATCCTCTCTCATGTTTATAAAGTCTCTAATTAAAAGAAGAAAAGATTTTGTGAAAAATTAATTCCCATAACAAAACAAAGTACAAAGTACTATTCATACATACTGTGAATTCATATATTTTCATGGGTACCAGGTTTGAAGAAAATTGTATTTTCATGGATATTTGATTTTGTGGATTTGCTTACATCTGTGTACAAGCCTATAAAAAAATGTGTACTTCATTGTTCACCTATACTCACCAAATGTAAGGAAATTGATATCCCACGAATAATAATACATCCACAGTACATAGGTTTATATATCATTTGGTTTTCTTTTATTTTTGAAAATGGTTTAGCTTCATTAGAATTACCATTTTTACTTCACATATACATATATAATTAGTACAGAGAGTTATGTGCTTCCTCCTGATCAAACTTCAGTGATACACCTACTCAAAAATTACACTCTTATCCTGATAGTGTAGAAAATAATATTAAAAATATTTTGTTTGATTAATGTTTCAATGACTGAAATGTGAGTCTTTCAGGGAAAACCGAGAATTTTCCCTTTTCAATTGTTGACTTAAAAAATATATTTTCCATATAATTGTATTGTTGGATTGCAGTTATGTTACAATTAAACCCATATCATTTATCAAAATCACAATAATATATTAAAAGATGGTGAAAAATATTATTGCAATTTTTGAAAGATAAAATTCATGTTGTTCATGAAGAAAAATTCTTTCTTTTCATATGATCATTAATTACTTGTGTAATGTACAGATCATCTCAACTTACAATGTCTTATAACACAAAGATGTGCCACAGGTACTGTCTACGGTCTATTATGGAATTACTTGTTTTGTGTTCCCTTTTTCCAAATAATATACATCAGAATCTGTATTCAAATTTATAAGAATATTAATATAATAAATACAAGACAAGCACTTTAAGTTACATTGCGCAGGATTAAGTTTCAAACTTTTGTTCCACCTATTCACATACAATTACTAGATAACATAAAGACAAATGGAGAAATATGTTTCTAACATTATATAAAATATCATTACATTGAAAACAAGACAATACATTACACAGACTAGTATAACAAATTGCATGAAGCAATATTTAAAAAATGTTTAAAACTTTTATTTAAATAAATAACATTTCCTGAAAATTGCAGTTTGTTCAATTTCAGTTATACTGTTTTAAATTATGAATTCATAATCTAATAATATATATAATCAGAAAAAGGTAAAATGTTGGTTTGGCATACAGAAATGAAAGATTAAAATCACCAAAATGGTCCTACATAAAATGTCTTGATTGTTCCCATAAACAATTTGGTGGGAATAAAAACTTGACATACAATGATAACATATTTATGATATTAAAAAGTAATGATAACATTGTAATATAATATATTTTTCTGATTAAAAATTACTGAAATTTATAAATAAACAAAATTATTAGTACAAATATTTATATTACTAAATATTAGTTTACCCCAAAACAATTGCTCAATACAGACTAAATGTAGAATATTCCAGATAAACTGAGTGAGTAATACTTTTCAAGGCATGGATTCCTTTATACAATTCTTATCATCATTAAAGGGATAGTAGCTACGATTTTGACAAAATTATGACCAAGTTTTAAAGCTGCTAAAATCAAAGATATGTACTTTAAATTAACAATAAGATCGGTGGAATGTTTATATAAAGTACAGAAGTGTTAATAATTGATAATTAATATCGTGTAGCGTGCATTTTCATCTCATTAATTATGCATCGGGTTTACTTCCCGAACTTTGCCGACACAGCGAGTGCGATGACCAAGATATAAATAAATATGAACATGTGCTTTTGTTTTCTTACGTATTTGACAATTTCTTTAGATTAAACGTACATATTTGAAACCATTTATCAAATTATGTAAACAACAAAATATACCAAATGCCTGCATATTATTCGAACCCAAGGTTCTCCAACAATGGCGATATTATACACTTGTTTTATATTTGTATGACAAAACAATGCCGATAACGTATACACGTGTTTGTGAATTGAATTGGGGCCTTCATGCAAGGTACACCGAAAGAATAATATTAAATTGTAAGAAGTTGATTTTTAATGTCTTCTAAGTTGTGAGATCACTGCTCTTAAATTTATAAAAATATTTTGGACAATAATGATTTGAATACGTCGCGATTTATTTTCATGTGATCTGGATTCGAAAAGTTCAGAAATGTTTTTTACATTTCGCAAACCGTCGTAATGTCGACTGCTTATATAATGACTTTATCTGCGTGACGGATGTTGTAAATGATTTTAATGACCGATCTCATCGCCGTTATTTATTTTCAATTTACAATAACTTGTCTGCACCTCTTTACTGTTTCTTTTTCTCGCAGAAACTGTAAACACACGTTCCATTTCCGCGATAACATTCCTCTGTTCGACATTTTCCCTTCGAGGGACAACTTGCGATTGCGCATTGGGAACTGCGGAGTTAAGGTCAACACAGGTCATATGAATAAGGGTTGGCTTAACTTCGAATTTTTGTCTATAGATAAGAATTAAATTTAGGTGTAAAACGTTAAAAAGCTTCTAAATGCTAATTGGAAAGTAAACAGTGATGGTTTTATTCATTCTAAATAAACCTTTTGTACAAAATCCGGCATATAGATTAGAAAAATAATTTTAATGAAAATCGTAGCTACTATCCGTTTAACTATTAAAAAATCATGTTTTTATTAAGTCATAGATTTTTCAATTTTTAAATACATGTACATTTAAGATAAAAGCAAAGAGATCTGCCGAGAAGATACATTAAGTTTCATAATACTAAATGATTGTAAAACAAAGGCTTGATTTAAATGTTCTAATATCCATCAATTCTACAGCAATGCTGACATTTTCCTCATTCAGTTTCTCAATGAAGCACTTAACAGTACTTTATGATCAAAGCATTTACAAATAGTCATTTTCAGTATATAATATTGAATATGTAGGAAAATGGAAAACAATAATAAATGAGATTCTATTCAAGATACATAAAAGAGATTCTATTCAAGATACATAAAAGGAAAAGTTAAACAAAAGTATGGCTTGTGTTTGACAAAATGTCACACTAAACATGTCAGTATAAATCATCTGGTTTCTCTTGGTAACTCAAAATTCAATAAAAAAACATTTATTCACAGAAATAATCATAGGAACACCGTAGTTTTGAAATGTAATATATACAAACATTTCAGTAACATTTTATTTTATTTTTTTTACACCCAAGTACAATCAAGCATGGGTTTAACTTGACTAAAAACATGAAAATTGATAAAAAAAACAACAAAATTCTCAAGATATTTTTAAGATCCAAATGCTACTTAATTTTGGATATTTGCAATATTTATGTTAATAATTGACAAAATTTATCACTATTCAAACTTACTTTATATTTTAGAATTAATGAATTTTGTTAAATTTTCAATTTTAATAATGATTGGCCAAGTTTGTTTCAAAACTAGGCAAGTGTTTTAAGAGAAACAGGCTTATATCTTCTTATTTTATGTTATTTAGAATCTTTGAGATTAAAGACAAAAGACCCAAAATGATGAGAAATGTTTACTGTAAACATCAGCAAGGTGAGGTAAAATACCAGGAAAATATTTGATTTTAACCAAAACTTTATAAGGCCCTACATAACCAGTGTTATATAATAGAAAACCAATATCAAATATGCACAACATTCATATCAATATGAAGAATTACAACAGAAATACAACAGAAACTTATAGATTTTTAAAGCAGTTATGCTATGGTCAAAATATAAAGACAAGAAAAGCACACAAAGTTGAATTTAAATTTGATATTTAAGTAGCTATGTTTTCCATGAAAGTCATTTTTTTAAACCTAAAAACAATGTTCAAAACTGTTATAGATGTATGGAATAAACACTTTGAAATAAATACAGGTGTACAAGTTTTGACTACAAATGTGACTTTAAATGAAATAATCAGCATAAAGACATACAAACCATATATTTTTTTTGCAATCAATATTTTATTTATGGCATTTTAGAACTGATATGACACCATCAGCTAAATAATTCAGAAGACTTTTCTGAAGCCATTGACACAATGTTTTTATAAACACTGAGAGCAGTAACATTTAGATCAAGCCTGACTAAAATAATACAATGTCATGTTTAAAAGGCATTTTATGTTCATATATTTGTTCATAAAATTGTACATTTTCTCTTGGATTTTTCTTTTTTTCTGATCTTTCCATTGTTTTGTTTACTAGCTTCCATCTTTCTTGACCTTATTTCCCTCATTAGATCATAAAATACCTGAAATTACAAGAAAATGCAAAAATAACCAATTAAACAAGAAAGATGTGATCAATTATTGTCAATGTGTAATTCATGTTTCACTCATCAAAAATTCAGTTTTACAAATCAGTATTCAGTGGTTATGGCTTGTTGTTGTATATCATATTTGTTTTTCGTTCATTGTTTTGTATATAAAACAGGTCGTTAATTTTCTCGTTTGAATTGCTTTAAATCTGTCATTTTTGGGCCTTTAATAGCTGACTATGCCGTATGGGTTTTGCTCATTGTTGAAGGCCATACAGTGACCTATAGTTGTTAACTTCTAAAGTCATTTGGTCTCTGGTGTAGAGTTGTCTCATTGGCAATCATATCACATCTTCTTATTTTCATATTAAGTTGAACGGGGGAAAACTTCTTTTTTAGTTTGTCAACCACTAAGTAAAATAATATGTTTTCAAAGCATCATAACAGAACTCTTGGGGTCAAAGACCATAAATAATTGTTTTGCAAATGTCATTAGATTTTAGGTAGTTCAAAATAATTCCCAGTATTCAAAATTAGTTCAACCTATCTTAGGTTTTTCCCCCAATTTTTGTTAAAAAATCGTGCCTTTGACCTATCTTCCCTAACAACTAATAGTGCGGGAAATACGGTATAAATAATTACCAGATGATTTTTTTTTTATATAACAGCACAACTAGTTATTCCTCTGATGAAAAACAACAAAAAATAGTTTGTTATTTCTCAGTCTCATGAAATATTTGTCTCATATACATCCACAACATTAAGTCAAAAAAGCTAGACCAATTGTCTAATAAAAATCAAGACTTTAAAGTCCATGAAAAACTGTTTGGTCAAATTTTTGCTAAATATTTACTTTTTGAATTACTGTATGTCATAGAAGAATATACATCACTGAACTATGAGAATTGTTTTACAATTTCCTGTCAGATTTCTACTGCATACAATGGAATTGACTCATATATGGTAGTACGTGAAAGTTTTCCCTCAATGATTTATCTGTCATATACTTGATGTTACCCATACACATATCACAGAAATCAATAAAATATATATTACTAGGTCATCAAACTTGTTTTAAATTAATGAATAGTTTGTTTAATCAGTTTTAAACAATGAAAATGAGGCTAAGAACCACAGAAATATGCCAAAAGGAAAACTTCAAACCATAATGCATTTGTATACAAGATATGAAGTACTTAAGTCTTTTACCTACTGAAATTAAAAAAAAATATGCTACTGCCACCAGATTAGCATATGTATGTTGAGGAACAAAACTGTAACCTCCAAAAAGCCTGCATATTGCTCACCTGGTATCTATACATAAAAACATATGTATATGTAAGATTTAAAAAATAAGCATGGTGCTTTTGCAGTACAAATTTGTTACCAGTTATCTTTAAAAACTCCAGAAATAAAAGATGCTTTCATAAACCATGAAATTTGAAACCCATGAGGAAAAGTACTTCCACACATTATCAGCATCTAGTGGGGACAGAGTGTGACTCATATTCTGATGATGACATAATGCAAGGTGAGCTAAGCAAAGTGCTTGTGAGCATTGACAGTAAAGATTGCTTTCATTTTGCAATGTGAACTTAAAATTAAACATTGAATAAGCTAATTGGAACACATTTGAATTGGAGTTATCTTCCTTTGATCATAATTATAGATGAAAGTCAACTTTATTGGAACAGATAGACTTATACATCATCCACAGCTTCTGTAATTATGCTCCCTCTATTATAGTAGAGGGGCATTCATGTCCATCCCATATCAGGTTAAAGTCCTTAATTAAAGTAGTTTACCATGAAGTTGTAGGCACAGTACAAATTTAGTCAAATGTGTTTTTATGGAAAATTTTAGATTTAATTAAAACACTACTTTCAAGACAAACATTATAAAGCTTACATACATCAATAAAATTTATTTTACAAATAGAAATTTCCATTAAAACAATAAAAAAGAAAAGAAGAGTTCCAATGTCCCCCGCGTTGCACATATTCTATCTGTCCAAGGGCAATAACTTAAAAAATTTTGTTTTTTTAAATTTCTTGGAGAAATGAAGGCTTGAGAGCAAATGCAATGCAATTTCTAAAATAAATAATGTTTCCAAGGGGCATAACTCTTTTAAAAATAATGGATATGCACTGATTTGTGAACTTGTCCAAGATATTGCTGAAATACATGTAAACCTATGATACAAGTTTCAAAAAAATCTGGCAAGCATTGTACATGTGAAAGCGCTAACAATGCAATTTTCCATATAATTAATATTTCCAAGGACCATAACTCTTTTAAAAATAATTGATATTGCTGATATTAACCTATAGACTAGTATAAGTTTTATCAAAATCTGGCAAGATTTGTACATGTGAGAGCCCTTACAAGGCCATTTTCCAAGGGCATAACTCTTTTAAAAAAAGTCGATCAACCACCATTATAGAACTTGTCCGAGATATTGTACCCGTGAGAGCGCTAACAAGACCGGATGGACGGACGCTCGGTATTTCTATGTCCCCTGCAAAAGCGTGCACGGGGGGACCAAAAAATGATTACAGCTCTGAAAAAATGTTTAAAATTTTGGCCATTTTAGCTTGTTATTCAGCTGAATTCAGGGCCATAACTCATGAATATCCTTAAATTGCCTATTGCTGTACATGTTAATTTAGTGTACTAAAATGGCATAATCAAAGGATGAAAAGACAGATGCCAGTAACATAAAATCCACTGTCATGACTGTTAAAGAGCAAGGTAGGGTGTGAGATATAAGATAATCATGATAATATATAAATAGATATGAATAAAAGATCATGATGTACGGTATACATCAATGAGATGGCAACCTAAAACAAAATAAGACATGCATATATTTCTATTTTGTGATGAAAATAATAAAATGGTGTATGGTTGACAAGTACACAGGAAAACAAAGGATACCAGTATTATTATAATTGCATAATTATTGTGTGCATTATAAGGTCTGTGTAATAAGTAGTACATATAAAATTACACATTGTGACTAATAAGCAATTTAATGGATGTCATACATATATCTTCTGAAATTAAACCTAATAAATATACAAGTTAGTGTGTGCATCTCAATTTCCTATGTGATATTGGCAATTGAACAGTTAGACGTGTAATTTTATCAGTAACAGCCAAATTTACACATAGCTCATTTATAATGGTAGATACGGTAAAGTTTTGACCACAATCTTCGGTTAACTGAACTGGAACATTTCTCTGTTTACTCTGCATGCAAAAGGTGCATGGTAAAATATGTGGAATGGTGTGTTTTCAAGCAAACGGATGTTGCTGGGGAAAAAATGAAATGCTGTCAGCTAAATAATTGGGATGGTAGGATTAATGGAAATTAAAAAATAACAAACCTTAATTTTGATAACTGGTGGTCAGTACATTAACATTTTGTGTTTACAATTGAAAAAGACCAAACAAAAATATAAAATAAAATAGAACCTTTATTTTTGATTGCAATACATGTATGTGAAATTTGTGTTTACAATATTCTCAAGCTTAGCAAAATGTCAATGTTTTTTTGTTGTTTTTTTTGGGGCATTTTTATTGAAGAATGCAACATTTCTGCTGATTTTTAATTTCTTTTTGCTCATCTGTATCAGCTTTAAGTTTTGGAACATTTGAAGATTTCAGAGAAGCAGATTTCTTGTAAGATAATGTATTTGACTTTCCACCAGCTCGTGGGTTCAACTTAGCTTTGTTCATGATGCGCAATAAATCATAAAAAGCCTGCAAACAAAAAAAATCAATGAAGAAATTAGCACAGAGATGCTTTACTAAATGTTAGTTAAGAAAACAGTTAATGTGTTTTCAGTCTCCTGTCATAGAATAATTCACAGGACAGAGGGAAATTGGCTTGGATATTTGTATTCACATATTCATGTATTGATAAAAAGCACTAGAACCAAACTTCCTGTTTCATTTTTTTAAAAGTTTTTAAATGTACTGTAATTTCAATCAATTTATGAAATAGTAAACTATAAATACTACATCTAATAAAAATAAACTGTTGACACAGAGTTTGTCTCAGTTTATAATTTTGATATAATTTTGATAATAAAATGTTGAAATTTACATAGAACTACTTTAACATGTAATTCATTTATGCAAAATACTCAAGTGAATGAACCATGACTGAAGGTACAGGGCCACATAATTTCTGAGATACAAGATATGTCAATGCTAATACAACTGCATACTAAATATCATTGACATATCATAAGTGCTTTCCCTTAAACTGACCTAATCACAAACTTTAACATGTAAACTATGCAAAAGTTTAAAAGTCAATAGACCATAACTGAGGGGGCAGTGCCAAATAATCTCCACAGAAATAAGATGTGCCAATGCTTATACAACTGCATACCATATATCATTGATTTATCATTAGTGGTTCCCCTTAAATTGATCTAATCACAAATGATAATTCAGACACTACTTTTTAAAGCAATATTTCTTATATGATTTACAGAGCAGTTTTTCTTATGGCTCAATGGACTTCTGGATAAAGGTGATAAATAAATAATGTTCATTGTGTGTTTTGCATTTTTGATGATTATAAATCATTACATTCATTTACAGTTTGAATCATGACTAAAATATTTCAACTGATTTCTATTCTGTACAGAAATGATTAAATCTAAAATCAAATTTTAAATTTAAGCATTGAAAAAGATCATGCTTTGCTGCACTGTTCATTAAGTATCTGTAGGAAATCTACTCCAAAGTACAGGGGCCAATATTACATTGTAAGAAGGCATGATTTCTGTATCAGTATATAAGTACACCGAGCAGGCTAAAAGCAATCTTGGATACAGTGCCCAGTATTATTTGGCCCCTTTTTGGTCTTTAATTCCTAAACAGTTAGGACAATGACCCCTAAAATCAATCCCAACCTTCCTTTTGAGGTATGGAACCTTGTGGTACAATTTCATAGAGATCCATACATTTATACACAAGTTACTGTCCTGAAACTAGAAAAATGCTTGTTTTTGGTCCCTTTTTGGTCCCTAATTCCTAAACAGTTAGAAAAAATACCCCTAAAATCAATCCTTTTCAGGTATGGAACCTTGTGGCACAATTTCATAGAGATCCATACACTTATAATTAAGTTATTGTCTGGAAACCAAATGTCTTTGAATGACGTTATACCATTATATGACCGCAAAAGTTTTGTGGTGTATAAAAACAGCTTCTATTAATATTTTTACAATCCAATTACTTTGCAGTTGCTAATTTTACATTTCTCAAAAGAAACCTGCAGCTGCATGAATAAAATTTGACATGAAATCAATGTTGTATATATATATTATACACCCTGTTTAATTAGTGATTATACAACCTATAACATCAGTGATCATAGAGTGCTGATATCAGTAAACTGAGGATGATAGAAACACCCTGTGCAGAGTTTATCTATAAACTTCATTGGAAGCAGATGTTTAAACAAACATTAATAATAACAAAAAATTCTATCAAATACCTAAATATTTGCTGAAATTCATCCATAATTATGTTTTTTTCTGTCTCTATGTTCTATACATTCTGCTTTATAACACAATTAATCTAGTCTATCACTACTATCAATTCCAAATTATAAATTTCGCCACATTAAAAGGTAGCCCATTTCATCTTAAACAAATCAAAAACCAGAAATTGCATTCAAATGTCTTTAGTATGCAAAAACAGAGATGAGGAGTATACATCAATAAGGCAAAAACTAAAAATCACAAAACATCAAAAGACAAGAGTTCAACAACTGTCTGCAACAATATACCGGTACAAATTTCTTTATAATTTGTCAGCAAGCTCATAATAAGTTTAGAAACTAGAGGCTCTCAAGAGCCTGTGTCGCTCACCTGATTCTACTTTGGTTTTGGAAATCATGTGAGGCCAAATTTGGTTTAATATTGGCCCTGTAATTTAATAAAAAATCCTGGTGGCCATCTTGAACAGTAAATCAGCAACAAAGTAACAACACTTCATCAGCACCTCATAAGAAACATTTATGCCATGTTTGGCTTCATTCCATTCAGTGCACCTCTAGAAGAAGCATTTGTATGTATTTCCAATAGGGTCTTATGTTAAAGGAAGTCCCCTGCTGGCAGCCATCGTGGATGAAGGATCAGCTTCAAAGTAACAACACTTAGTCAGCACCTCATAAGGATCATTCATGCATGTTTGGTTTCAATCCATTCAGTCAGTGGTTCTCTAAAAGAAGACATTTGTATGTATTGTCCATAGGGTCCTTTGTTAAACACTGTCCCCAGCTGGTGGCCATCTTGGATGATGGATCGGCTTCAAAGTAACAACACTTGGTCAGCACTTCATAAGGAACATTCATGCCATGTTTGGTTTCATTCCATTCAGTGGTTCTCTAAAAGAAGACATTTGTATGTATTTCCCATAGGGTCCTTTGTTAAACCAAGTCCCCCCGCTGACGGCCATCTTGTATGATGGATCAGCTTCAAAGTAACAACACTTGGTCAGCACCTCAAAAGGAACATTCATGCCATGTTTGGTTTCATTCCATTCAGTGGTTCTTTAAAAGAAGACATTTGTATGTATTTCCCATAGGGTCCTATGTTAAACTAAGTCCCCCGCTGGCGGCCATCTTGGATGATGGATCGGCTTCAAAGTAACAACACTTGCTCAGCACCTCATAAGGAACATTCATGCCATGTTCGGTTTCATTCCATTCAGTGGTTCTCTAAAAGAAGACATTTGTAAATATTTCCAATAGGGTCCTATGTTAAAGGAAGTCCCCCGCAGATTCAATCTTGGATTATGGATCGGCTTCAAAGTAACAACACTTGGTCAGCACCTCATAAGGAACATTCATGCCATGTTTGGTTTCATTCCATTCAGTGGTTCTCTAAAAGAAGACATTTGTATGTATTTCCCATAGGGTCCTATGTTAAAGGAAGTCCCCCGCAAGCGGCTATCTTGGATTATGGATCGGCTTCAAAGTAACAACACTTGGTCAGCACCTCATAAGGAACATTCATGCCATGTTTGGTTTCATTCCATTCAGTGGTTCTCTAAAAGAAGACATTTGTATGTATTTCCCATAGGGTCCTATGTTAAACTAAGTCCCCCACTGGCGGCCATCTTGGATGATGGATCGGCTTCAAAGTAACAACACTTGGTCATCACCTCATAAGGAACATTCATGCCATGTTTGGTTCCATTCCATTCAGTGGTTCTCTAGAAGAAGTTCAAAATGTAAAAAGTTAATGACGACGAAGACGACAGACGCCAAGTGATGAGAAAAGCTCACTTGGCCCTTTGGCCCAGGTGAGCTAAAAAAGGAGGGTACTACTTTGGGAAATATTGGCCCTACAATCAAATGTATCTTAATAAATTACTACACATTTGGCTTAAAAAGTATCCTTTTCATGTTTTATATATCCATGAAATGAAAATTGAATTCAGTATCATGGCAAAATCAAACAAAATTCTGATGTTTTACAAATACATATTCCAAAATAATATAGAGTACAATGATTGTCTTGCATGAATTGTGTTTTGTTCTTATCTGTTTGCTAGCAAAAATTATTTTGTGCAAAACATGTTCTATGTTACTTTAATCAATTGCAAAACTACCCTGAAATTTGCTTTTTTTTAGCCCAAAGTAACAAATCTTTATTATGACTGCATTTTAATGATGTCACAATGAAAAAGAGTCATCATGCCATATCTATAGCTAACAGCTACATTTTCTGAAAGCTTTAATTCTGAAGTTAAAAAAATTGTGATTAATAATAGTAATTACACAATTTTGGTTTTCAGAGACTATGTAAGATCTGCCGTCAACACCATACTTCCAAATGGACATCATTAAGTCATAACTAAAAACAACTGCTGATGAGGCTTTCCATTTGGGACAGGCACATAAACATTTGGCAGGGTTAAACTATTTTATTTAAGAACTCAACCCTTTCCCTTTTTAGCAAGATCATTAAAATAAAAATTTGAAAGGGTTCCACAGAAACCAGTGTCTCGCCTACTTTCGCTGTTAGTCACAGGCTCAACAAAAACGGGGAAAAAGTTATTAAAAATTTTCCTCTAGATACTATCTTTTGATTTTATGAAGCTTCTATTCAAGTTTGGTAAAAATCCAGGATGGTTTATGAATCTAATAAATGTTTTAAAAACTTTAACTGCAGACTGTATGTAATGTTAACTGGAAGAAAAACTAAGTCCATTTATAAGTAATATACAGAAAAACAGGAAATAAATTTTTACAAAATTTCCTTCTAGATACTAGCTTATGATCATTAACAAGCTTTTCTCCAAGTTTGGTACAAATCCAGGATAGTTTAAGAAAGTTATTAAAATTTTAAAAACTTTAACCACAGAGTGAATGTAATGTTAACTGGCAGAAAAAATAAGTCCATTTATAAGTAAAATACGGATAAACAGGATTTTTTTTTTACAAAATTTACTTCTGGATACTATCTTATGATCATAAACAAGCTTCTGTCCAAGTTTGGTACAAATCCAGGATAGTTTAAGAAAGTTATTAAAATTTCAAAAACTTTAACCACAGAGTGAATATTTGTGGACGCCGACGACGGAATGTATGATCGCTACTGATATTCCCTTATCTTTTTGATAGACAAAAAATACTCTCTAAATGGAAGTATGTTTTAATGGCATATTATATTCATTCTATCAAATGTATCTAGTATCTATCTGTTATTAACAGGGTTAATATTTGATCTAAAATTTATTACCTTATCTACATTAGCCCTGGTTTTAGCCGAAGTTTCTACATATGGAACTTTCCATTGTTGTGATCGTTGTTGGGCTTCCTCAACAGGAACTTGTCGTTTTTCTTCTAGATCAGCTTTGTTCCCAACCAACAGAAAAGGAATGCTGTCGTCACTTTTATCACTATTCACATTTTTAACACGTAAAATTTGCTCCCTAAAAATTGAAAACTATTTATTTAAAATTAGCCTGATTCATACATAAATAGAGGTAAAAAAAAGTGCATACTATTTGTGTAGGGTAGCCCTATACACAATGAATTACTTCTTGTAGAGCATTTGTTTGTATAACATTTTGGGCATAAATTAAAATAAGTAAATTTATCTATAATCTGTAAACTATGATGAATCATTATCAGTTGCATAGCTTCTATTATGTGTCTGAGGCAGTTCTCAAGATCTTTGATATATAAATAAGCAAAACTTTAATTCTTGTAGGTAAGCAAGGGTCAGTTGAACCCTGACCAAAGGACATGTACACCTTACAATCATTCCATAAACCAAATATAGTTGACCTATTGCTTAAAGCATCTGAGTAACAAACTGAACCAGGAAAACTTAATTGTTGATCACTGATCTATTTAATAATGTCAAGGTGAAGTGAACCCTGTCTGACAGACATGTAGACCTTTCAATGATTTTATATTCTTAATATAATTATCCTTTTACTCATAATTGAGATAAACTGTTATCACAGAGATATGTCTCACCTTTTTGTAATTTTGATAATGCAAATGTTGAATTTAAAATAGCAATACTTTATAAACATGTAAGTTATGCAAATATTCAAAGTCGATGAACCATGACTGAAGGTACATGGCTAAACAATCTCCATGGAATGAGATGTGCCAATGCTAATACAACTGCATACCAAATACCATTGACTTATTATAAGTCGTTCCCTTTAAACAAACCTAAACACAAACATTAACTTGTAAACTGTGTAAAAGTTTCAAAGTCAATGAACCATGATCAGGGGTGGGGCTATATAATCTCCATGGAAACGATACTTGCAAATGCCAATACATTTGCATAACAAATATCATTGACTTAACATTAGCAGTTCATCTTAAACTGATCTAATCACCAACTAATACATGTAAACTAAGCAAAAGTTTCAAAGTCAATAGACCATGACTGAGGGGGCAGGGCCAAATATTCTCCATGGAAATGAGATGTGCTAATGCTTATACAACTGAACACCAATTAACCAATTAACATTGGCCTACCACTAATGGTTCCCCTTGAACTGACCTAATCACAAACTAATACATGTTAACTTAGCAAAATTTTCAAAGTCTATAGACCATGACTAAGGGGGCAGAGCCAAATATTATAATCTCCATGGAAATAAGATATGCCAATGCTTATACAACTGCATACCAAATATCATTGACCTACCACTAGTGGTTCCCCATAAATTGACCTAATCACAAACTAATACATGTAAACTATGAAAAGTTTCAAAGTCAATAGACCTTGACTGAGGGGGCGGGGCCAAATAATCTCCATGGTAATGAGATGTGCCAATGCTAATACAACTGCATACCAAATATCATTGACCTACCACTAGTGGTTCACCATGAACTAGACCTAATCACAAACTAATACATTGTTGACGCCACCGACGCCGGAAACAGCATACCTATGTCTTGCTTTTTGACTCCGTCAAGGCAAGACAAAAATCACTTATTAAGGTAGTCCCTGAACCATGAATATAGGTCAAGGATAAGTGACATATAAAAGTTGGAAACTTCAGAACATGATAACCTTATTCAAGATATGAAATAATGTATCCAGGTCTTCTACCTCCCTAAATATAAAGCTTTATACTAATAGTTTACACAGCTGCTGCCGGATTGGCATTTCTATGTCTCTCAGTCTAAGACTTTCTTCACAGGCCTTACAATGAATCAGTTTGAAGTTGCATCATTTGTCACATTTGAGTTTTTTTTTATTTATTTGTGTATACAATAACAACTCTACTGTTGAATCAGCTTTTTCATAGGAATCTTGCAGGTTAAAATGAAGTAATTATTTATATAGGCGACAATGGTAGCCTTTTTAGGTTCTGCGTTTTCGCTGTGAAAGATCTGTTGAAAAACTGTCAAATTCTGAATTTTTAACACCTTTGGGTGTGAATAAAACTGCAAAACACATATGGTGCCGCAGCTTTTTTGATAGAAAAACTGCATTTTTTAAGGGTACTCTATGGGAATTTTCAAAATAGTATGAATGAAGAACACCCTTGCTTAATTTTGCAAAGAAAATTTGGCTCATCACAGAGAGTTTCCTCCAAATTTCTCGCTATTTCTACACCAATAACCAACATTCATTTCTCACTATTTCAATTTTGTTTTCTAATAAACAGGGCAGCAGAAAATAAATTTACTTCTACCTATTATCTTGGATGTAAAAACTAGGTGGCACCAGTAATCTTTAATTACTTCCTTTTAACCTGCAATTGTTTGCTTTAATTTTCATTAAAATGTTATTTCATCATTCCATTAATTTGTTTCACACTTGTTTTTCAAATCTTTAAAACTACATTAACCAAAGAACTACTTTAATTTATCTAAAATCTGTAAACTATGATGAATCATTATCAGTTGCATAGCTTCTATTATATCTCTGAAGCAACTGCCTCACAAGATCACATATATAAATAAGCAAAACTTTAATTCTTGCAGGTACACAAGCCAAACAAAATTCTGATCCCTATTACCAGGACTCTTCTCCTGAAATGATTTTTCTCACTAGAAATAAGAGTTTTACTATATTACTCACAAGTATAAAACCATATATAAAATACAATGACAATATTAAACTGAACATGTTTTGTGGAACTTATGACTACCGGTACTAAACATTCATGTACCAAATCCTATCGAATAATTAGAAACTTTCAGATGAGAACACATGTAGAGAATTAACATAAATATCTAACATCTATATAGCAGGTGGGTAAACATCAGAATTTCAAGATAAGAACAAGCAATGTAATTTTTACACATCGACTTTCTTACTTAATATAATTCATAAACATAAACAGTCTTTCTCCTAAATAAATGGTCCTTGAAGGAGGAATATCATTGTGACCTTCATATCTTGTCATTAAATTCCCTTCTTTAGTATACATTGTTGTAAAAAACAAAGTATGAAGTAAAAGAGTTATTAAACTGTCAATGAAATTGCAATAATAGCAAAAAGCTTCAATCCTTTCAAAATTACGTTTGTTTTGTTGAAAAATGAAAATGATGATATAACCTGGACACAGCTTTTTTCAAACATCTTGAAGTTCAGTAACTACTTGAAAGAAGCTGTATACTTTATTCAGCATGGACCACAAAAACCAGGTCATGGAAAATGGGCATATGCCAAACTGAACTTCAGAATACAAGGCATCTGTATAATACAAGATATGATGTGTCCAGGTCTTTTACAACATACAAAGCTTCAATACAAATAGTTTACAGTCATTACTGCTGTATTTGACTTCCTATGTCTCTCATTCTGCAACTTTTGTCACAGGAAAGACAAATATCCATTAGATTACCTTTTTTCATACCAATTACCTAAATGTGATATGACCCCCCACATTGTATTAAAGAACATTCTGAGCCAGTTTTTAAAAGTGCTAGTTCACAAGGTTATAGTCTGCAGCAACCAAGACACAATATTTTGACCTGAGGCTAACCAGGAAGACACACAATATTTTGAACTCAAGCTAACCAGTTTTTGCTCTTACTCCTAAATGCTAGTCTACTTGCATAATGAATATCAGCAAGTACCAATTTTTATTTTTGATTTGACTGGCTATTGAACCAGCAATCTCACAAACAAGGCAGATATTTTGTGCTGCTCCACAAAACAATCAAGGCTGATATTTCGTACTGCTTCACATTTTCTTTCAAAATGAAAACATATAAATCTGTATGTCAAACTTGTTTTGTTTTAGGCCTGTGTTATTATATAAATTTGATTTCCTATATAAAAACTTATTTCCTCATTACATGCTTGAAGGAAATGAATATTGATAAGAAATCCTTTATGCATAGTGCACAACAACAAAAATAGTAACATTTTATTATCAAAACATAGGCTTTCTATCCTTTTTCAATATAGCAAAAGTACTATTTGATCAGCTTACATGTAAAACATCCTTGGCCAAAGGCCATATGTTCAGACACTGAATAAGCTTCATCAACATGTATACCTTTATGGAACTCCAAAATTTATTAAAAGATAATTATATGAAATAAAATGCTTCGCTGAGCGCAGCTGGATACGACCGCAGAGGTCCAACCCTGAACAGTTGGGGCAAAAATGGACACAATATTCGCGCTTGATATAGGTCTGAATTTGGATTGTAAATAGATAATTGACACATAACAGAATAACTGTAGTTCAAAGTACTTAGAATTGGTTGTATGATTTGAATTTATATTCAATTTTTTGCTTTTGTGCAATACACTATGCTGTTTCGAATTGACCCCCCCCCCCCCCAAAAAAAAAATGTATCCCCCTTTTTTTTTGCTTTTGTGCAATACACTATGATGTTGCATATTGACCCCCCCCCCCCCCCCTCAAATTTTTTTTTTCACCCAACCCCTTTTTTTTTTTGCAAAAAAAAATATTATTTGAAGAAATTTTCTTTTTAATTTCTGAAATCTGTAATGAGAAAAAAAAAAGTGTTCCCCCCTCACCTTTTTCCAAAAAAAAATTCTTTCCCTCAAGATATGGTCATTATCTCAATTCAAATTTCCAATGGAGTTTGCAACCATAATTACCCATTTAAATACATCATAAAAGTCTTAAAATAGAAAATGACATACATAATCATGTCTAAAAATAATATATCTTTAATCAGCATTTTTATTAGTAACTTCTAAAAATAAATTGAAAGCTTATCACCTCAAGACAATACAAAATTTCTTTATACATAATTTTAAAGCAGTGTAAGGGAGGTAATCCAAATTTAACATTGTACTTAAAAGTGATTGTCCATTAACAAGAAAACCCTTGTTTTTAAACGAATTGAGCCATTACCCCCCAAAGCCAATCCTAACCATCCCTTTGTGGTATGGAAACTTGTTGTACAATTTCAGAGAGATCCATTCACCGTTCCACAAGTTATTGTCTAAAAACTAGAAAAAT